GGAGAGGGGAGGGTTGGACTTGGACCTGAGCCTCCTCACCTGTGCATCACCTTCCTAGGAGACCGAGCTCCCTGGGCAGCATCCCAACGAGATCCCCCACAATGAGAAGCTCCTGTCGCTCAAGTACGAGGTGAGTGCCCATCTGCCCATCTTCCCTCCTCTGGGCTCTGCCCTTGGGGGGGCAGCAGGTGAGGTAAGTGGGCTTGGGGGCTTGTTGTTGCCCAACTAGAGGTGTTTCAGCAGGGAAGGAGCAGAGTTGAAGGAGGAAAAGGGTACAGGTGTGTGGAGGGGAAAGGGCCTGAGGGCAGCCCTCCCTGGTGTGGGCATCTCTTACCCTGGGCCAGACAGTAACAGCATCTCCCTGTCCTGAACTAGAGCCTGGACTATGACAACAGTGAAAACCAGCTGTTCCTGGAGGAGGAGAGGAGGATAAACCACACGGTGAGTCTTGCTGTGACATGATTGTCCACTGTTCCCACAGCTGGGGTGGCCCAAGGAAGCCATTTCCCCCCTGCCTGCTGCTGGGGGAGGTCACACTCAAAGCAGTGCCTGAGCTGGGGGGCCCTGTGGGCACTGCCCAGCTTGTGGGGAGCCATGAAACCTCAGGAGCAAGGACCCAGCCACAGGGTGGTTCAAATGGGAGCTGGCCTGGGTGTGTGTGTGGTGGCATTGCTGAGTGACATGAGGCAGGTCCCTGAGCAGAGGGACTCGTGGAGCCATGAGATGCACCTGCTCTGGGGGCTTTGGGGGTCAGAGCTGCAGCCAGAAGCCCAACAGGAGAGGTCTGAGAGAGGCAGGGGAGCTGGAGAAGCACATCTGCTGTTGGGGATCCCACCCAGGAGCAGGGACACTGGCTTAGAATAAGTGAAGTGTGGACCAGGCTTTGCCGTCCTGGGTCAGGTGGCATCAGTGTTCCTTGGGCAGCTCCCCTTGGAGCTGTGTTGGGGAAGGTGTCCAGGTGGTTTGGAGCTCCCTGGATGCTGGTGGGGCTGGCAGCAGCAGGGCTGATGTCTGTCTGTCCCTCAGGCTTTCCGGACGGTGGAGATCAAGCGCTGGGTCATCTGTGCCATGATTGGCATCCTCACTGGCCTGGTTGCCTGCTTCATTGACATCGTGGTGGAGAACCTGGCTGGGCTGAAGTACCGTGTGGTGAAGGACAGTATCCTTCCATGGAGCCAGCTGGGAGCTCTGGGATCTCCATTCCCAAGAGCCAGGAGAGGGCTGCAGGGGAAAGGGCAGATCCTGCCACCCAAAGGTGCTGCTGAGCACCCGCCTGCTCTGTGGGGCTGAGCACTGGCCAGGCACTGCCACCATGGAGGAGGTTCCTCACAGCAGCCCAGGCTGTGCCACAGCCCCAGGAGCATTTTCTTGGGGCTTTGCTGTGGTGGGAGAGGTGGTACCCAACTGGTAACTGGTCTTTCCTTGAGCTGCTCCCCCAGACATCGACAAGTTCACGGAGAAAGGGGGCCTGTCTTTCTCCCTCTTGCTCTGGGCCACCCTGAATGCCAGTGTGGTGATGGTGGGCTCTGTGATTGTGGCTTTCATAGAGGTAAGAGTTTGG